TCATGTCTAAAGTATTCTCCGTTTTGAAATCTAATCTATCATGATTTTATCCTCAAAAGACATCTCGATAGGTTAAGAGAGAAAAACATATATAAATTTACATTGACCTCGACATCAAGGACTAAGGGCAGTGATAGATCTTCTTGGGAACTACGGGTCGTGACCCTTTGTAACTCCTATATAATTTATGATTTTGACCCCTTCAAATTTAATGATTGTTTAATATATTTACTTATATATTTACAATTTCATCATCTCACCCTCCCCTAAGTTTTAACTCTCATATAATTTATGATTTTGTCTCTCCAAACTTAATGATCATTTAATATATTTATTTGCAATTTTATCTTCTCACCCTCCCTTCAAATCAATTCACATATAATTTATGATTTTGGCCCCCCAAACTTAATGATCATTTAATATATTTACTTATATATTTATAATTTTATCATTTCATCATCTTATCTTTTTTTACCCTTTTATATTTATTTATTTATTATTTATTAATAATATATTATTTGCTCCCCCTAAAATCAATGGTTAAGATCCTCCATTGACTAAGGGGTAGCATTGACGCTAATGTTCTGTCTAGGAATTGAGAGTATCTTGGTCTCATGTATGCTATGATAATATCATTAGATTTAATTATCACATCTGAATTATTGTCCTTTTTAGAACTTTAGTCTATCACAATTTTGTCCTTAAAAGATATCTCTATAGACCATGACATATGATCTTGACCCATTCCCCATGGCATTGGATTAGACTAATCCCCCATTCATAGTATGTGATCTTGACTGATATCTTATGACATGTGATCTTAATCTATCCTCATGACATGTGATCTCGATCGATCTCTCATGACATATGATCTCGACTCCCATGGCATGTTATCTTGATCGATCCCTATTGCATGTGATCTTGATTCATATAATATGTGATCTTAATTGACCCTTGCATGGTATCAATCTATCATACTTCAACTATTGTCTGAAGTTTATTATTCAATGAGTTATTACTACACACAGGATCGTGAGAGTCACGGAACACAACTCACTATGATTGGGATGACGTGGGTTGTAGTGTTAAGATGTTGTTGATTGATATGTAATTTACTATACTTTGAGATTTATGAAGTCTTATCATCCTCAACTTGAAGTTAAGGAATTATGTAGTGTTATGTAGTCTTGTAAATTATGTCTTCCTAAGAAGAGACATGTTCTAAGCAAAACCCTTCTTTGAAAGAAGACTTTGAATAACATTTTTTTTAATCCTTAAGATTTTCTTTTGACCAATAAATAAATATTTAATTATAGTTTGAATGGGATCAGCTCATATATGGTCACCTCCATAATTTTTAAAGAGACTAAAAATTGGGGGACTTTGTACTAGTATATGTTACATTGTGATTTTAAGTTGAATTATAGAACAAGTTGGTTTATGAATGATTTTTAACATATATTTAAAATAGTCAAAATCGACCCTATTCGTGTCACCCATTCTCTAAATACCACGTAACAACCCATAATCTAGAGTCTTAAATTAAAGAGACTAAAAATTAGGGGACTTTGTACTATTATATGTTACATTGTGATTTTAAGTTGAATTATAGAACAAGTTGGTTTATGAATGATCGAACAAAAATTATATATAAATCTAGAGTCTTAAATTCTTATTTATGAAAAATCCATAACCTAATCTCATTTGAAAATACTCAATAATTTATAATTCTTTTTTCTTCCCCAAACCAAATTAAAAAAAGAAGTAAATAAAGATAAAAGTAGGTTGTAAATAAAAACATTAATGTGAATGTAAGATATGATAAATAATTTTATAAATAATATATTAATAGTTGTTTTAAAATCAAATTAAAACTAAAATATATCGATCAAATTAAAATAGTCAATAAGAAGTTATTAAGTTGTTAAATAATTAAAAATTAACCTAATTACTTATTGAAATTTTCAAATTATATTTTATCAAAACCTCATTAAATTTATTCAATTACTTGAACTTAATGGATATTATGTAATGTATTTAAGAGTTTCATAAAAATTCTTATAGATTAATAAGATACTTCTTAAGATATTTATGACTTGAAGAATTAATTAAACATTAAGTGTTAGAAAACAAATAGTCACAAATCTTTTATTTTGATGATTAGCAGATAGTTAAACAAGCTATCAGCATTAAATGACATATTATCCGATGATATCTAGACTTATTTCTGTATCCTAAATTTTATTAAAACACTTATATTATCATCAATAAAGATGTTTCTTCTTTTTAGTTGAAACATGTATTCCTTTTACAGATAATTTTTTTTTTACCATTCTTATCACTTTCTTTCACTGAAACCATTTTCATCTTATGACAAGTAAAGATTAGATCCCTTTTTAATTTGTAACATTATTATGGTTAGGGTTTGATAGTTAATGATATTTATAGACCTATATTTATGCGTGAAGTATGTTTTTGAAAGAAAAATAAAAGCAATATTTTTCAATCATGTATTCATATTATTCACAATATCAATGAAACGAAATACTTCTTGATCACATGACATCGATGATTAGTTATCTAAACATGTCATTTTCTCCATAGTTTTTATAGCCATATCCTCAAGTAAATAATATTGTTGAAAAAAAATTGCTACTTTCTTGAGGTTGCTAACTTTATCATATTCCCTCGAAATGTTCCAAATCCTTTTTCTGGGAAAGCTTTTATAATTATACATGTGCCATAAATTGTCTTCTCTCCAAACCTTTGTAATAATTTTCTCTTGCAAAATGCTTATTCATTTTAAATACTTCTTGAGTTTCTTCCACTAAAAGTATTTGCTTGTACTATTTTTAGTCACAACTATAGTCTTAAGCGAGGAATTTCTCTCACATTTGTATAATAGCTAGCTGTAACGCAAGAAAAAAAAATCCTTAAGTTTTCCATATATCTTGTTTTCCTTTGTAAAGTCTATCAATACAACTAAAATTAGACAAAGAAAAAGCCACAAAATAAAATGTGTAAGGCTTTGAGGCAATTGATGTTCTTAATATGTCCATTGTTGTGGTAAGGAAATAAATTAGTAATTGCACATAATATCCTATATTAGGTTAATTTTCATATTTTGACCTCTCTTCAAACATAGAGATTTAGTTACATAATTGGACTATATACCAGTCACTAAAGCTTTAAACATTGGAGAACTGTTGTACTAAAAGAAAATAAGAATTGGGATTTTTCCAAAAAGGAAACCAAGTTATTGGGCACAAATGAATTTTTACTATAAAGCTAAATGCATATGAATAGATTAGTATAATATTCAAACTCGTTGCGTAAATGTTTACTTAATGGAAAAGTTGAATTTGATTAAAATCTTCATTTCTCTTATAGGAAATTAATTGAGATTGAGAATTGTACCAAATGAAATTTCCCTAAAGAGGAGTTTTTTTATGAAAGCAGAGTGACAAAATCATAATATAATATGTAAATTTGATAATAAATGTTTGCCCCAAAAGAATAATCTCAAAATGTTCAATGCAAAGTTAAGTTAATCACACCTTATTTGTAAGGAAATATATAACAGGAATTGTTATAGTTTATTTAAGTGACATTGTCTTTAATCATCAATCACTACAAGATTAGATGACTTTGGACAACTACAATACTTTATCCCATCTTGGGATAAACGTAAACTTTAGAGATTTTATTTACTTAAAAAAAGAAAGAAAAGAAATGGATATACAAACAAATTTCTATGGATAACATATAAATAGATAAATAAATAAATATATGACTTTTTTTTTAAATATTGAAGAATCACACCTCCTAAGAGTTTTAAGTTTGAAAAATATTTTTATTTTCTTTTGGTAGAAAAAAGAAACTTTTATTTTCATGTTTCTTTTCTAAGAATATCGAAATATTTTTTTCATCATAAAAACTTTAAGTAACACAATTTTCTCTCGTTTTTACACCCGTAAAGTTCTTTCAAATTAAAATAAAAGCTAATATTGTCTTCTTTCCCTTCTCATCTACCTTGTTTTAAGGGCTATCTCTGATTTTTATTTTATTTTTTTTCTGATGTTGCAACTAATCCTGTTTTTCCGGTACAAAACACCTCAATCGTATAAGAATTTATTGTTAACATAAACTTTGTGCACTTAATATGTGTTTATTTGTTACTACATTTATTCCTCAAACAATAAATTTTCAGTAAACATAGGTAAAAATTAGCAATTATTACTCCCATAGCAGATGACTCTCTACTACTTGCATCATATAATGCAATGAAACGGGGCGTCTTGAGTTCCTGCAAAGAGCTTTTGAGCTTGGGAAAAGGAAAGAAGAGTGAATAAAAAGTGAAAAAAACGGAAAGGAAAAAAGCATAGGTGTTCCACGTCACCCAAATTAATACGCATTCTTCCCCACCACATGGTCCAATGCAACTTTACCTTTATCTTAACCCACCTTGGGTAACCTTAACCATAGCAGGCGGTCAGTTGCTAACCTAACCTCACACTGTTCCCTGGTGGTCCCCCAATCCCTTTTCCAATAACACTGAAACAAAATTAATGATCGTAATTTATTTATTAATATTATTAATATAAAATGATGATATAATTACAGTTCTTTTGTCGCCCTGACTATATAAATACATAGTTATATACATATATATCCACCTCTTCTCCTTCTATGTGTGACTCTATTCCCTCGTAGGTCTATATATATATATATATATGTACAGGCTAAGCTAAGCTAAACTAAATCCTTTCCCTCTCTCTTGCTCTCTCTCTCAACACTTGATCAGAAAATTCAGAAGCACAGCAGGGTGTAGCAGGCAGGCATAAACCTTCGCTCCCACAGAGACATATATCCCCTCGCAGTCTAGTTAGTTATATAACGGTTTCTATTTTCTCACTTTCTTCCCACTTTACCCTTTTTTCTCTCGCTTATGCCCCTCCAATTACTAGCATAGCCCAGCATTTTATTGAAAGAAAGGGAAAATGATATCCTGGGGAGATTTGTACAACGTCTTGACAGCGGTGATTCCGCTGTATGTGGCCATGATCTTAGCGTACGGCTCGGTTCGCTGGTGGAAGATATTCTCGCCGGACCAATGCTCCGGCATAAACCGCTTCGTCGCGATCTTCGCGGTTCCGCTTCTTTCCTTCCATTTCATCTCCACCAACAACCCTTACGCGATGAACTTCCGCTTCATCGCCGCCGACACGCTCCAGAAAATTATCATGCTGTTTGCGTTGGCAATCTGGACCAACTTCACCGCCAACGGGAGCTTGGAGTGGATGATTACTATTTTCTCTCTCTCCACATTGCCCAACACGCTTGTGATGGGAATTCCACTTCTCATCGCCATGTACGGCAAATATTCGGGTAGTCTCATGGTCCAGGTGGTGGTGCTCCAGTGCATCATCTGGTACACGCTCCTCCTCTTCCTCTTCGAGTACCGCGGTGCCAAGCTCTTGATCATGGAACAGTTCCCCGAAACCGCTGCTTCCATAGTTTCCTTCAAGGTCGACTCCGATGTCGTTTCGCTCGATGGAAGGGATTTCCTCGAAACCGATGCTGAAGTCGGTGACGACGGGAAGCTCCACGTGACCGTCAGGAAGTCCAATGCTTCTAGAAGGTCCTTCATGATGACCCCTCGCCCGTCTAACCTCACCGGCGCCGAGATTTACAGTCTCAGCTCCTCCCGTAACCCCACGCCACGTGGCTCAAACTTCAACCACGCGGATTTCTACTCCATGATGGGGTACGCGCCTAGGCATTCTAACTTCGGCGCTGCGGATTTGTACTCCGTGCAGTCCACGTCACGTGGGGTCACGCCGAGGCCCTCCAATTTCGAGGAGAACTCTGCACCCGCGCCGCAGGCTATCAGCTCCCCCAGGTTCGGGTTCTACCCCGCCGTGCAGACCGCCCCCGCCGCCTACCCTGCTCCGAACCCGGAATTCTCTTCAGGGTTAACCAAGAGTGTTAGCAAGAATTCGCAGACGCAGTCACAGTCACAGCCTCAGCCTCAGCCTCAGCCTCAGTCTCAGCCGCAGGTTCAAGCTCAAGCTGCTCCTCAAGTTGCTCAACCACCCAACAGTGGTAACAAAGCCAGCCACGACGCTAAGGAGCTCCACATGTTCGTGTGGAGCTCCAGCGCTTCGCCGGTTTCTGAAGCCGGAGGCCTTCATGTGTTCACTGGAGCCGATTTCGGAGCTTCCGACCAATCGGGCCGCTCCGACCAAGGTGCCAAGGAGATTAGGATGTTGGTAGCGGACGACCACCCTCAAAATGGAGAAGCCAACAAAGGTAGTTCTAATAGATTCCTTCTTTCTTTTCTTTTTTTTTTTCTCTCTCTCTACGACTTAAATTAATTAGAGTTTAAAACTAGTTTTGACGCAATTCTCTGATTAAACTTGAAGTCTTTAATTACAATACAAAAAAAAAAAAAAAATTTCTAATTGAATGAGAGCACTAGGTAGTTTTGGAACTTAATTTGAGTTTTGTTTTGAGGAATTGATTTGATTTGGGTGATTGTGGGTTGGAACTGAAGCTGCAGCAGAAGGAGAATTTGGGGTTGAAGATTTGAAATTTCCAGGGAAAGAAGGGGAACACGCGGATGAAGAGGGAGAGAAAGCGGGAGCCACTGGGCTTAACAAGCTGGGTTCCAGTTCAACGGCGGAGCTACACCCAAAATCGGGCGGAGCCGCCGCGGGGAAACACTTGCCTCCTGCGAGTGTGATGACCCGTCTCATACTGATTATGGTGTGGCGTAAGCTTATCCGCAATCCCAACACTTACTCCAGCCTCATTGGTGTCATTTGGTCGCTAGTGGCGTTTAGGTAAGTAAATTTCAAAGTCAATCTAGAACGACGATGAATTTTTGACATGTTTTGACTTTTAGAGTTTAGTTATTATTAGTGGTTATTTTGTGGTGACGTAGTTGTGATTTATGATTACTAATTAATTAATTGCAGGTGGCATGTGCACATGCCCAAAATAATAGAGCAATCAATCTCCATACTCTCTGATGCTGGTCTTGGAATGGCTATGTTCAGCTTGGGTGAGTGGTCGAAATAATTTGTCCAAATTCTTGCTCTTACAATAATTTCATTCCCCCTTATTTGCAATTCCTTTCCTCTTTGGCGAAAACATTGATATTTATGAGAAGTCCCTTTTCTGGTGTTAAAACGTACATCGAAAAGAGTAATATAAAATCGTATTTGTGTTTAAATAATTTTGTTGGTTCACATGTTTTTCTTGTACTTTTAACAATAATGTTACAAAGAATAGTTTGTTGGAAAATATAAAATGAGAAGGAGATGAACACGAATGCGATGGTGAGATGAGTGTGATGGATGTATGAAAAGTATGGATTTGGGGGAAAGCAAGTAATAAGCATAAACAAAGTAATGGCCGTCCATTGAATTGAAGTTTGTTACCACATAACACAAGCAGATGATGTTGTTCACTAGACGATAACATGGGGATTGCATAGTGACAGTGCAATGTCCCCGACATGTGGGGTCTGGTCTTGAACAACGTCGCTATGCGGTCCAGGGCGGTGGTGGGGACCTGTACCAATTTTGGACCCAAATTAGGCAAAGGTAGTTGATTTAGACGAATCAAGCAGTACTATAAATATCTTTTCATTCACAAAACTTAAAAGCATTTTCCCATTATGCCGTGACTGTAAATTTTGGATGCCTTTTTCCTTCTCTATTGTTTTCATTTTCACCTTTCTACCCTTTCCGCTAAAAATTATCGAGGACTAACCTTTTGCGGTTTTGGCGCTTGTAGGTCTCTTCATGGCTCTTCAACCCAAGATAATTGCGTGTGGGAACTCGGTTGCAACATTTGCCATGGCTGTTCGGTTCCTCACAGGTCCCGCTGTCATGGCTGCAGCTTCTATCGCTGTTGGCCTACGTGGCACCCTCTTACGTGTAGCTATTGTTCAGGTAAACTTGAATTATAATCCTGTTTGATTGATAGGACACTGTTAATCTTACTTGTGTGTGAATTACTTTAATATCTTTGAGTGCTACAGTAGAAATCACAGATTCTGAATAGCTAGGCCCTTTGACTCTGTGCATTCTAGACGTTATAATTTTTAATAAATTATAGTTAATAACGGAAAATATTTTAATGAACGCGTGTTATATAGCATCTTATGTTTTATATGGAAATTTCAATGAACTTTTCTGTGACTACAATTTTGGCTACCATGTTAAACATGATTTAAAGAAAGAGGCTTGGAATGTATGTCAACTTACGGATACGTAATTATTGTTCATAGGCTGCACTTCCACAAGGGATTGTTCCATTTGTATTTGCAAAAGAATACAACGTCCACCCAGCCATTCTTAGCACAGGGTTAGTAACTAAACTTCATTATTTTATTTTATTTTCGTTCATTTTCTTAAGAAAGAAGTTGACACTTTTTTGTGAAATTTATAAACCTAAATGCAGGGTTATATTTGGGATGTTGATAGCTCTACCAATTACTCTAGTCTACTACATATTACTTGGTTTGTAAAATATGTATGCAGTAGTAGCGAACACACCAGGACCGAACGAATGACCCTTTCGAACCTTTTTATACTTTGGGAGTTTAGCTTGGATGCCTGGTGACCACAGTGGATTATGCTGTTATTAACAAGGATGTGGATCTTCTGAGTGGAGAGCAAAACCCACAAACTAAACTAGTATCCTTAAAGCAGAGGAGATCCTCGAGAGTTTCCAAAATTTTTGGAATTTCTGAAAAAATTGACCAATTGGCCCAAATCCCCAGAATTCTTATCCCCCTATCAAAAGTCCAAAATAGACGCAGTTTTCAAGAGCAGAGAGAGAGAGAGAGAGAGGAGCAAGTACAGCTTATGGGAGACAGAGCATAGGAAAACAGGAGAAAGCTCGCATGAGCAGAGTCAAGGAAATCTAGAAACGGTTCCCTCCGTATCTGCATTGTAAATTTTATTAGAAAGTCATGTTTGTGTCATCAAGTAACAAAGACAGGTGAGCAATTGGGTAGGGGAAATGAAATTGGAATATAAGCGGAGATTGTTTTTTTTAAGTTTTGTTTAGTCATTTGTTTACTTCAATTTTATTATTATACTATGGGTGTTTTTGTCTTTGATCATCCGCGGATCCCGCAATTATTTGCGTTTGTCGTCTTTCTTTGGTCACGTTTCTTGTTTAGTATTTTTTTATCTGATGAAGTAAAAACACCAGAAAGTGATCTTCGTTGTTTTTTTTCTGGCGTATAATAAATATGGGACCATCAGACTGAGAGTCGAACTTTCAGAACATCGTCTTTCTACTGAGTGGGGATTATGTACTTTTCCTCTGAAGTTGAGTGATGGCTGATGGAAGGCTAAAATATTTTTGTAAAAAAATAATAAAAATGAATAAAGCAGAGAAAGAGCAGGGTGAAGAGCACAAAACTTTTATTTGTGCTTTTTGGGTAGTGATGTATGTACCCACAACCCTAACTAGCAACTCATAGTCAATAGTAGCTTTACTTATCAAGAGCTAAGCTAGCGTGAGAGAGGTGGGCTGGTCAGCACTCAACTTTTTACCAGGAAAACGATGGCACTTCAAACTCAATCATCCCCTACGGCTCCTTCAATTATATTCATATGGTGACAGTTGTAAGGGAAAAATAAAACATAAAAGAAAACAAATCGTTATCTCACCTAAGATGGCCCATAAAAAGGAGAGTAGGCGTCTACTATATTGAGAGGGTCTTTTAGATGAAGATAAAATAATCAAGTCATTGCAAATTAGTGCTGCTACAGTTTTCCTCACCATGTAATAGCTACATTTGTGAGTTGGAAACACTTTATATTTGGTTCCCTCCTGTACATATATTTTTTTAATGTACATATATATTCACTTCTTACTACAAATAATAATATTAACTATATATATATATATATATATATATATATTTACTTTTCTGTATCATGTATATAAAAGTTTAAACACATTTAAAAAGTAAACATGTCCTAATTATGTGTTCAAACAATTACATATCTGTAAAAGAAGATTGGTTATATGAAATTTCATTTTTTTATATATATCCATTTAATCCAAAAATATAAATTAGATAATTATTTTTCTTTCTTATCATTATTTTTTAAAATTTAATTATTTTAGGCTATTAAATCAATGAATAGGGATGATAGAGAGTTAATTTCAACCTCTTAATTTTTTAAATAGATAACTCTTTTCTCTTAAAAAAAAGTGTAGGTGTGTAATTATCATGTATCTTTTACTTACAATTTTTTTAGAAATATTCAAAATTTTTTTTTATAGATAATTTTTGGCACACTAATATTATAGGATATTGCTTTGTTAATATTTTTATTTAAATATTTTATATTCTTTCAATTAAAAAAAATACAACATTTTACACAAACTATTTAACAATAAGTAAAAATAATAATAATTATATATAACTATAGTATTAAAATTATCTTAATATAATCTTTCATTGAAAGTTTTAAAATTAATGATGATTTTAACTCATTCTTATAAGTTATCAATGATGACAATTATAAATGTAATTGTTATTGCATGGGACCTCGTTGTTCTCTACCATAACAAACATAAAAACTTGTAATAATCTCTCCTTGTTGTTCTTCTGACACAACGTCAATGTGTACAAAAATTTCAATGTCCACATATAGTCATTTCTAGTAGAACATCCTCTAACACATCCCTACCTACAACTTGTCTAATTAAAGTTTTTTCAGAATAATCTAAATTGTATTCTCGTTGGAATCTCACCTTCCACAGTCGTTCTACTTGTTACAACATCAAGCATGTTGTAGATTCGCCACAAAGATACACTTCACAAAGGAGATAAAAAGAAAAAGGACTAAAATAAGAGTTGAATCTTGATGGAAATAGAAGAGGAGAACTACAATAAAGAAGGAGAGGATGAGGGTATGGAGGAAAACTGAATAAAATGAATAAATTAAAAAGTATAATAAAATATACGATGATGGTTCTATTTATAATCGTTGTTGTATATCATATATAACGAGGATTGCATATATAACTATCATCATATGTCATGTATGATGGTAATTACACAAGAATCTTCGTTAAAAGTTGTTTTTTAAATACAATAATGATTCATTTTATAATCATTGATGTATATCACATATAATTATGATTATACATGCAACCATGGTCATATGTGACATACGAAAATGGTTATAAATCAACAATCGTTACGTTACTGAAAATAATTTCAAAATTATTACAATGTCTTTTTTAACCATGCTTCACGTATAATCAGCTTTTAAAGATATTATCTTTTGTTTATTTTGTACTAGTGTATTTATAAAGAAAGAAAAATTACAAACTCCAAATGCAAAATATAACTCTCCCAAGTAACCTAAACCGCAAATAGTTGTAGGTATTTGTTTTCTAACTATCTTCATATATTACATCAATCTTTTATCAATTTATATATTTTTATATATTCTAATGTCTTCATCCTTTAGATTTAACATTAGGTGTTATATTGTTGGATTCCCATAGGTTCTCATGATACATTAATTTTTTATTGATTCCTTTTATAATCCAAAATAAACTTTAAGTCATGACTAATAAAATATGTGTTAAATGTTTGATTCGATTATTAGATAATTATAAATTTTGGTTTACAATTATTTGCATCTTTATAATGTGCACATTATTGTGGTGCCTCTTAGAGATCCAATATTTCTAGATCTATAAAGCTTAACTAACCCTTAAACACTACTCATGTTATGAATGGATGGCCAACCTCAGCCTTGCCAAACATGACACCTGAAGAAGTCTAGAAAGAGAGAAAACCATCAGTGGGACACCTCAAGGCATTTCGACGCAAAAGATATGTTCATGTTCTTGATGTCACAAAGAAGAAGCTGGATAAGAAGAGCATCAAGTGCGTGTACATGAGAGTCAGTGAAGAGTCCAAAGCTTTTCGAATATATGACCCAAAAACAAAGAAGATTATCATCAGTCCAGTTGTAGTTTTTGATGAAATAAAAAATGGGATTGAAAGAATTTAAGAGAAACTAATTTTCTTGATCTTATGTGCAAAGAAAATGAAGAGAAATAAAGATTCATAAGCTAAAAATCAAGCACTTAATGAAAGGAAAGAAGAAGCTATAGGTTATGAGAGAATCAATGTTCCTATAAGAAGAAGAAGGTCGCCAGTGTGGATGAGTGTCGCCAAACGATAAATGCGAGCGGTTGCGACGCGATGGTTTGTGACTCGCATTTTCGTAAAATAAATGGTCATCACTTTTAGGATGTTCGATAATCGAACTAACTTTAAAAGTGAGGTTTTCAAAAAGGGTTTCTAGGAGTTGCCAACAATGTTTTAACCATAAACATTGGAAAAGGAAAAAAAAGAAGGCGTTGGTTTAAGAAAACCAACTTTGACCATTATAACCAAAGTTGGGTAAGGAAGTTAGTTATGTGTGGGGAAGATGTTAGCACCCCACAACACCCATTTTGGGTTCCCTATGATGGAATAATTCTAAAATAAAGATACCGAAATTATGTTTCTACCCTATTTATTTATCTACTTGTAGTAATTAAATATCTACATGGCCCTAACTTATAATGCACACAAAGAAAACGATAAAAGAGAAGAAATAGAAAAGGAACCTCCGAATATTCTTTTTTCCTTTTTCAATTTTTGGTTAAAATATTTGTAGACTCAAATCTTGCCCGGCCTCAAAATAAGAACAGAAGGCCTCCTATTCGAAGATGGACGAAGCCTAAGAAACCACTAGGAGAGACTATTAGGCCCCATATTAGGATAGGAAGGATTTTTTGTATAAAAATAAGGATTTTCGCCTTCAGGAGTCGAGACCGCCGTCTCGCCATTGATGCAAGTCGAGACGACCGTCTCGTTTGGCGAGACAACCGTCTCGCCACTTGCCAATGGCGAGACCCTCCTCCCGTTTGGCGAGAAGGCCTTCTTGTCACTTGAAAAGTCGATACCGCTGTCTCACCAAATGAGACGGCCGTCTCGCCACTTTTGCAAGTCGAGACGGCCGTCCCAAATGGCGAGATGACCGTCTCGACCTGATAGGTGTGAATCCCTATAAATAGTGAGCGCTCCCCCCCTCATTTCACACAGTTTTTCCACTTTCTCTTCTACAATTTCTTCAAATTCTTTTCCTAGAGTCCCTCCGAAGCATTTTCGGAGTTTTTGAAAGTCTTAGAGAGCTTTTTATAGCGTTTTGAGAGAGTTTTCGGCATTGTAAGAGTGAAGTGAAAGTGATCCTAGCAAAGATCTCAGTGATTTGATGAAGTCAAAGATAAAGTCAAAGGTCAACTCTGCAACAGTCAAACAAGTCACTCAGAAGAATGGAGTCGAAGACTTAGTGTGTCCGAACAGAAAGCTTAGGTAAAACCACTTTACCTTTTCCATCGCACAAAGCTTCTTCATTCATTTTGCAAAATGCCTCAAAAACAGTTTTTAACAAATCAAAAACAAAAGCATTTTGGCAAAGAATTTTCTTAAACAAGTTATTAACTGATACAGGTTTGAAAGAATCAATTTAAAACACTTAGAATGTTTTAAAAAGTGTTTTTACAATATTTTAATCGATACAAACTTCTTTTAATCGATTAAAACTCTTTATGACCGATTAGAATTCGAATATAATAGGTCAGAATGCAATATAATCGATCAGATCTTAAATATGAGCGATTAGAATTATTTTAATCGATTAAAACACGTTTCAATCGATTAAAATCACTTTGATGTCGTGATGATCGATCAGAATGAGATTATGACCGATCGAAGTTGGTTATGATCGATCGAATTGAATTATGACCGATCGAATTATTTCAATCGATTAAAACGCATTTCAATCGATTAAAATAACTTAGAAAATCTTTTCAATCGATTAAAACGAACTTTCA